AGAGAGAGAAAGAGAGAGAGAGAGAGAGAGAGAGAGAGAGAGAGAGAGAGATCCTGTCCAATCCTTGTTCTACTGTCTCCTACTGAACAAGGACTACAGCTACAGCTGGACGTAGTAACTGGGCCCTGGCAGTAAACATGAAGAAAACCAATGTCATGATCTTTGAAAAACGTCCCAGGTGTCATGAGAACAAACACCAATTTACCATCAATAATCATGTCATTGAACACAGCATAAGTTATACCTACCTTGGTATAACCATAACAGCATCAGGGAGTTTCAACATGGCAGTGAATGCACTAAAAGAAAAAGCTCGAAGAGCTCTATATGCAATTAAGAGAGCATTTTATAATTTCCATATTCCAATAAAAATCTGGCTTAAAATTTTTGATAGTGTCATCCAGCCCATTGCGCTGTACGGTAGTGAAGTATGGGGTCCACTCAGTCATCAGAGCTTTACCCGTTGGGACAAACATCCAACAGAATCTCTACATGCAGAATTCTGCAGATACATTTTACACGTATACAGAAACACACCAACAAATGCATGTAGAGCAGAATTAGGCAGATACCCACTGATAATTAACATTCAGAAGAGAACACTCAACTTCTTTAACCACCTGAAATCCAGCCCCAGAGACACCCTCCACTCCAAAGCCCTCCAAACCCAAGAGCTGAGCCCAGAAAAGAGTCCCCTATGTCAGTTGGTACTGAGGCTTACTGCCCCCTCTCAGACACACTCTGACCAGCTTCACAACAACACTGCTCTATAAACAGTAATCAGAGTAAAGCAAATTATAGCACAATGTAAAGAAAGCTATCTGGACCATTGGGAAGAAACAACTAAAAGCCAAAGTAGATTTGAATGTTATCTTGCCCTTTAAAGAGATTATGAATGAGCAGAATATCTCTCTACTGTCAGAGATAGGAAGCAGAGACAGATCCTAACCAAGTACAGGCTCAGTGACCACAAACTGCCAATCCAAACAGGAAGACACAAAAAGAAAACAGAAAATGTGGTCACTGTTCGACAGGTGAGGTTGAGACAGAGATGCACTTTCTCCGACAATGTACAAAATTAAATAATACTAGAAACATTTATTTGAACAAGTTCAGCTCTTTGGTTCCAGATTTCAAAGAGCTGAACGACCTCTCCAAATTAAAAATACTCCTCGGAGAAGGAGAGCGGGCACACCTTGCTGCCCAGTATGTATTAACATGCCACAACCTGAGGGACAGTGAGTGATTGAGGCACACACACACACACACACACACACACACACACACACACACACACGCACACACACACTGTATATAACTAATATAATGTTCATAATGTATATATCTTTCATATTGTGTATTGTCTGAATATTTCGACTTATTGTATTGTATTTTGATGCTTTTGCTTTGGCAAAAACTTTCATGCCAATAAAGCCCATTTTGAATTGAATTTGAATTGAATTGAGAGGAGTTTGGTAGTCAGCCCATGCATGTACAGCCTGTATATTTTAGATTGCTTTTCATTCCAGTTTTGCAGGTTTGACCAAGTCTTCAGCAGATGAGGTTAAATATCCTTAATCACATGTTTGAGAGAGATTTAGTTGTCTAGATTTAACTAGAAAGAGTTTCCAACATATGTCAGCATTTTTTTATAAACATTAATATGTTGTTGTGCACATACACATTATACACAAAAAGTGTCCAGTATGGGGAAACCTAATGAAACAGCATGTGTGCACATTTTTCACTCATGCTATGTTATTTATTATTTGCAGCTATTTTTCCCAGATTGTATTAACTATCAACAATGATATGAAAATCTTATTCTGACATTGGTTATAATCCTGCACATGTGGAAATATGGAATAAGACATCTATTGTTGGTAAACAGGGATCCATGAAAAATTATTTGATCTAAAGATAGAAAATATCTTTTGATTGATGTATAGCATTAACAGCATTGGCATTATTGGGACAATGAAAATGTCATAATCTGAAGTTCAAATTTGTTCAAATTTGTTCAAATGGTGGAATGATAGAAAGTGCAGATTTAAAGCTGTAGCAAGGTAAAAACAGAAGCACTTACTTTATTATCAGTTCAGGCTTTAATTAATAAATAATACACAATTTAAAAACAATAAATATTGAAAAAAATTGCAAATGAACAAAAACATAAATAACTAAATTAATATGTAACTTTTAAACAAATAACAATAAACCGTTTAAAAACTGTGCATCTGAGTAAAGAGAATGATGTGCTCATGTCTGTAAGGGTTGAGGGCATTGTATTATGTTACTATGCCATAACTGCACTAGAGTGCATGGTGACCCCTGCTGGTCAGAGGTTACATAACAGTTGTTTATAATGCATGCATTATATATTTCTATTTTACTTTGTGCAGAATGCAGCAACATTCATTTATATTTTATTGTTGGATTCATCTTTATTTTATTGATCTACTTTACTTTAGTTGTATCTCCTCATTCTGGAGCTATACGCTGAAGAATTTCACTGTTTGTTGTATTGTGTATGTTTATGTATGTGACAATAAAACTTGATCTCATTTGTGAGTGTGATTCAAACTCAGTCAGAGTTTGATGTCAACTCTTTCAACAGGCAGGTTAATATCATTGATAATACAGCTGTTGTTTATTTAACTTTAAATTATTTTCTCAGGGTTTTGTGAGATTCTTCTTCTGATAAATCTAATAAACATGTCCAGTGTTGAGCTGAAACACTAAATTTATACTCAATTACTTTTCTGATCCTGATCACTTCATTAAGTATACTAAGTGTCTTTTTCATTTGAACAAATTCAAAGAATTTAATAATTTTTTTTATTTTGCTGTTGGGCTTGAGGATTTGCAAATCACTAAATATGAATGTTTTTAAAATTAAAAATAAAGCAAATGATTCCCTCTGTGTCATATCCCATATACTACTGTTGTTCAGACTGTTTTATATTTATCCAAAGGTCATTTTACACACATCCTGTGTAATTTCCCACATTAATCCATCCTGCATTATTATACCATTCGGGGAGAGTGGGGTAAGACGAGCCATTTTTCATATTTAGGATCACTACATCAAGGCAATCATAGTTTTGTTGCTAACTAATATATCTGCATATATTTTAGGATGTTGTGAATCCCTTCAAACAAACAGAATGAGTGTAAACATAACTGTTTGGATAATATAGCATGTCCAAAAAAGTGGTCTTGTGGCTCAACTTACCCCGTGTATGGGGTAAGTTGAGCATAGGAGCGGGGTAAGTCGAGCCGTGTACCTACTCCCTCCTCGGACCCTCCTCCCCACCTCTACCCCACCCCTCCCTCATCTTCTCGCTCCCTAAATAGCACTCACTTCTTCCCATTCATGTGTATTTTAAAGTGCGCTTAGGAAGAAAACATTAAAAGCTGTGTTTTTGGAATATACACAGAATATGTTTTTGGATACACTTATTGAGTGTATTTTGGCTGTAGCCACCGGCTCAACTTACCCCTGGCCAAATGGCTCAACTTACCCCAGAGCTACCATTTTGACTTTATTAGTCCCCACAGCTAAAATGGTGCACTTTTATGCAAGGTTTATGAGCTCATGTTGTAGCTCATAGATACCACAATTGATGTATAAAACAAATTTAAAATGATCTTCTTTGGTCTAAACACAATTCTCATGAAACTTATGATAGACTAAATTCACTTTCAAGAGTGAAAAATGATTTTTTGGAAATAAATATCTAATCACTTTACCCATGTGGTTCTTACATTCACAGACTCCATGAAATGAAGCCTTCCTCCTAAATATTTGGTCACATGATCAATGTTTTTTACCATTTCCTAGCAACAAGGGGTGGCTCAACTTACCCTTTGGCTCAACTTACCCCACTCTCCCTTATGTCAGAATTGTTCAATAAAATGACCACAGCCAAATACAAAATATCCCTCATTGTGCTTTAATATTAATTCAATTATTGTAGATGTACAATAGAATGAGACTTCTGTTTAAATAATAATATTCTTCCCTTTGCTGCAGCTCCTCACTGGAGGGGGGCAGCACAGTCAGGGTGGGGACGACTCGACCCACTGCAGAGAGAGAGAGAGAGGGAGGGAGAGAGAGAGAGAGGGAGGGAGAGAGAGAGAGAGAGAGAGAAGAGAGAGAGAGAGAGAGAGAGAGAGAGAGAGAGAGAGAGAGAGGGAGGGAGAGAGAGGGAGAGAGAGGGAGAAGACTTAGAGTTTAGTTTAAAATGATTTTAAATGTTTCACTTCCCTCTCTGAACTCAGTCGCCAAGGCAACAGACAGGCATCACTGCTGAACCATGGCAACAGACAGGTTTCAGTACTGAAGATAAAATGTTACAGTGGCACATTGTTCCTCTGTTAGGTTTAAAGCAAAAAATATATTACCGAGCATGAAAAATGGCAGGTTTTTATTGTTTTTCAAAAAAGAAAAGGAAATTCCTCGATGGTGTGTGCTTGCTTTTTACATTCAAATTGAACATTGTTAACTACTGAGTTGTGTATTGAAACTCATTAAATCAAACCTACTCACAGTTAAATATATGTTTTAATAGTGATGTTTTAAGATTATCTGTTGTGACATACAATGTGTGAAATATTTAAATCAAGTAAAACCTCTCAACAATTGTTGGTCCTGTATTTGGAGTGAAATATTTAAACTTTTAATAATACTTTTGTAAGACAAAATACTTCTTGGTAAACTTTATATGTACAAACTGTTAGAAAAATCCATTACAGTGACATGAAATATATTAACCCAAAGCAAAGCCTCATACAAATGAGCACTGACACATTCCTAATCAATACTCTGATACAGTGATTGATCCATTGATAAACAGCATCATGAGAGGAATCCAAGTCCCTGTTGGAGTCAGTCAGAGCATTTCCATAGAGAGCCACTTTGCATCAGCAGCACCATGCTCCAGTGCTCTGGGAGAGTTTATAGTCCTGAGAGTTGAACACTGGATGACTGACAGCTGTCCTTCATGACAACAGAAGACACAGAAATCCTCCTCATCAAAAGCATGACTTTGATCTCCGTCCTCATCTGGATTCTCCTCTGCTGCTGCTTCACAGGTAAAGTCCAGAGAATCAAACTCCTCTCCCTCTATGAACATCCGTCCCTCTGAAATGAAGCCCACAAAACCATGATGCTGCTTTATGTTTTTGTCTCTGTATCCTCAGAGTCCAGAGGCCAGGTCACAGTGACTCAGTCTGGAGCAGTGAGCTCTGCTCTGGGACGCTCCGCCACCATCACATGTAGGACCAGTCAGAATGTTTATAGCTCCGATCGTTTAGCCTGGTACCAACAGAGAGATGGAGAAACTCCTAAACTGCTCATTTACTATGCTAGCACCCGAGCATCAGGGATTCCAGGTCGTTTTACAGGCAGTGGATCAAACTCTGACTTCACTCTGACCATCAGTGGAGTCCAGACTGAAGATGCAGCAGTTTACTACTGTCAGAGTTATCACTACATCAACAGTCAGAATGTGTTCACACAGTGAAAAAGCGTCGTACAAAAACCTCCCTCACTCAGACTGAACAGAAACTGAACTGACTGCTGCAGCTGGAAGCTACTGCAGAGACTGATACACTTCACTGAGGACACACACACACACACATTAAGATGGTAACAGTGGGGTAATATGTTTCAGTAACAAGACTCAACAGGTCATAATGTGGTTATTACAGATGTACAGTGGGAATTGGGAGAGGGACAGAAAAAGTAAATAGTTTAGCAGACATGGTATGTATATTTCATTATTTATCATAATTAGGTCATTTAAATATATATCATTTATATTGTTTATGATAGATTGTCAGTGTGTTTTCTTGCCTGATTCACTCACAGAAACAATAGAAAATCACTCAAACTATTGCTACACATCACATGACAGCCACGGAGGGGCCCACACAAAGCATAGCCTAGGGGCTCATGACCGACTTAATCCACCACAGGTAACAGCATAATAAAGACACAAAAATCTGACAATTATTGGGGGAAAATCAAGGTTGTTCATTAGTTTCCTTAATATAAAAGGCAGCAGGTATGATTTATTTATCCAGGTTTTGAAACGTCACTGAGATTGCTCAACCTCATACAAAGGAGGCTTTTTTGTGCAGCACTTTGGAAACCTTGTGTTTGTTAAAATCGTGCTATATAAATAAAGTGGATTGGATTGGATTGAATGAAATGTTCACACACTGCTCTGAAGAAATACTCACTATGAAAACTGTTCACAGAGTTATATTGTTCCTGTATTACTGTGTTCTTTGGATCATCTATTCACCTCCATTGAGTTCTTTAGAAAAAATCATGTTGAAAGTTTTAAAATGCTTTATCTTTGCTGAAAGCTCTACAAATGACATTTCTTCCACCTGTATTTTATTGGGGTGGAAGCAGAAATTTCAGGCACCTGAATGTTAAATAATATGTTCATGGAGAGATACCACAGGACAAAGAGAAACTAATTTATATAACAGGTACTTTGGGTGAACTGACTGTTGCGTATTTGAGGAAAAGATAAAAATGTTCTGTGAAAAGTTTTCACACACAACAATGCAACTCCAAAATATTGATGTACATCCCTATTGTAAGGTATAATTCTTATATCATCACTCATTATGGTTCTTAAGTTGAATCTATGTTTCATGAAACACTGAAGTTCTGTGTGTGCAATGAAGCAACAGCTGCACTGAGGGGGAAACACCATGATATGTTGAGGACAGCTACAGTTCACTGACTCTGTGTGTTTGCATATGTGTCCTTCCTCTCTGCTCCCAGCCGTTAAGAGGCCAGTGTTGATCAGTGGCTGTCCAGGCCTTTCAGAGCCACTGACACGCCGGCAGCACAATGATAATGTCACTGACTCTACTGCTGGCCACCCTGGGGCTCCTTGTTCAGGGTGAGACTCTCTTCTTAAAAACTTTGCTTCAGGATGCAACCAGGTTCACCACAATGATGTCCTGCTATGATGGAGAAACACTGAAACAAGCAGCATTTACCTTCTTCCATCTATTCTCCATGTTAAAGAAATGATACTCTTCTGTTTGGATGTTGATCATCTTTCTCCAAACTGGATTTGTCTCAATAACCCTTCTCCTCTTTTTCATGTTTTCCAGATTCATCAGGAGAAATCATCCTGACTCAGTCTCCTAAAGCTCAGTCTGTTGTTCCAGGACAGACTGTCTCTGTCAGATGTAAAGCCAGTTCAAGTGCTGGTACTTGTCTTAACTGGTACCTTCAGAAACCTGGAGAATCGCCCAAACTCTTGATTTATCATTCTTCAAGCCGTCAGTCTGGAGTTTCAGGTCGTTTTAGTGGAAGTGGATCTGGAACTGACTTCACTCTGACCATCAGCGGAGTTCAGACTGAAGATGCAGGAGATTATTACTGTCAGCAATGTAACAGCTGGCCGTTCACACAGTGATACAACGTCGTACAAAAACCTCCCTCAGCTGAAGAGGAACTGATCTGAATCAACAGCTGCACAGAAATACAGACACTTTAGAAATATAACAGACAGTGAAGTCCATATAACAGAATACTGTCAGTAAATATAATGTATAGTGTAATAAGTCCTAATGGTAACCTTGTTGAGATAGGATAGTAAATAAGTTTGATATATCCATTGTAGATTAGTCAAAAAGTAGATGAGTTATTACTGATAACAAGACATTAACATTAGTTTGTTTTTTGTTTGATTTGAAATAGAATATTTTCTTTCATGTCTTTTAACGTAATTTAGATGTTATTTGAATTTCATGTTATTCATATTTAAGTCAGAGTTTAGTTTTCAACAAACGTAAACACATATTTTTATTGAGCTTGTGTTCATATGAAAATACATAAGTTATGTTATATTTTGCCAACAAACTGCAGACACTGATAATAATCTTACATAATATGCTGATAATTTCCTATTTTGTAATTCAAATGATTTCTTCTCAGATTTTGTAGTTGATATCAGTGGAAAACTTTATAGGACACATGCAATATATCTAATGATCCTGAAGATACTCTATCGATCAGCTTTGTTACCAAAAAATAAATTCATGATTAGAGGAAAGTTTGTCTAATAACAAATGCTTGAAGGAATCAGAAGAAAAAGATTAATTTACTTACCTCTCTGAGCTACTGCACCCCTACACTCCCAGCCGATCTCTCAGGTCAGCTGACCAGCTGCTCCTGACAGTGCCTAAAGCTAGGCTTAAGCTCAGAGGGGAACGAGCGTTTGCCGTTGCAGCTCCAAAACTTTGGAATGGATTGCCGCTGCACTTTAGACAGGCCACCTCTCTGTCTCATTTTAAAACTCTTCTTAAAACCCACCTCTTTTCTTCGGCTTTTGATTCCATGTAGAGTGTTGATTCTATGTGTATACATGCATATTTTTATCTTGTGTTGGCAGTGCTTTTTATTTATTTCTGTTATTTATTTTACTTATTTTATTTTATTTTATCTTATTGCTTTTATCTTTTATTGTGTATCTTCGATTGTGTTATCTATTTATTCTGTATATCTTTTTGTGCAGCACTTTGGAAACCTTGTGTTTGTTAAATTCGTGCTATATAAATAAAGTGGATTGGATTGGATTGGATAATGATGTTGGGTTACATCAAGAACTGATAATTGATTATCTGATTACTTTTATTTTTTCTAAAGAATGAGGAGAGATATTAAAATTTTTGTTCTACATCATATTCTTTCTTAAGACATTACCTAATATTTTTGAATCTTGATCTCATTTTTATTCAGTGTTTTTGGATATAATGTTACTATTAAGTCTACAACAGTGAACGTCAACTGGCGGCCCACGGGCCACATCCTGCCCGCCAGAGATTTCCATCCAGCCCCCAGAATATTACTGAATTCAGGAATAACCTAGTGAAGAGGAAAAGGTATGTTTCTATATTTATTTATTTTTAAATCAAATGAATGAAACTCCCTCTGAAAAGTAGCTTGTGCCATAGCCTGCCTTCAATCAAAAATGTTGTTGCTCTCATTAAACATCTTTTATTGTTTCACATGCTCACTTTATCTATAGTCGTTTTTCACAAATGTCAAAATTGTCCTTGCTTGGGGTTTGTGCACAATTGCAGTGTCTTAGTAACAACCATCAACCTAACAGAGAAGAGCATGGTAATTGCAAGCCTTGCACATCAGCAAATATTTCTAATGACAAATAAAAGTGACAGGCCTCAGTTATTAGAAATGTTACTCTTTACATCAAATTAAAGTAGCCTGTGATCCAACAAATAAATACAAGTAAAGTAAAACCAAGAAAATCACAAGACTGAAATACGTTTGCTTAATGGGAGACGTTACATTTCCCCTCCTACACTCTCTTTTTAATCTGGCTTGACAGCTGTCAGGCTTATTCGCTTATGTCGGTTCTTCTCATGCATTTTTATAGAGTTCATTTTTGAGAACGCAGCTTCACAGGTGTATGTTGATCCAAACATTGTGAGCACATGCATGGTCAATGTCTTCAGTGTGTCACACTCTTGGGGACAAGCCACCCAAAAGGCGCTCAAGCTTTCAGCACCACGGAGAGCAGCCTTCATGTCACCAGCGGCCTGGATGTCAATCAGTTCACTTTGAATAGCCGCCTCCAGCGGCATCACCTTCCTCACGTTAGTGGAGAATTCTCCACCTGGGCTGAAAATATCACTATCGCCCCCTAGGGGCTTGCTGCAATACAGCTAATATGAGTCTCCTAACACTGACAGAGGCTAAAAAATATCATAAATTTGGAATGAAAATGAGTATATCAAATCATAACATATTACTTAGGATACAATAATTATTTTATTTTATTTTATTTTACGAGCATCTGGCCCTCACAGTGTCTGTAGAGAAAAATTCTGGCCGTTGGACAAATGTAGTTGATGACCCCTGGTCTACAACATCAGTTTACAGTAACACACATGACAAAAAAATTATTTGATGACCTGGTCTTTATTGTGTTGAAATAATCAAAATAACAAATTTAATTAATGAAACAAGTAATCAGAAAGTGAGAAGAGGTAAAGAAAGATATAGACAGATAATGAGAGAGTGCAGACTGAGAGCAGTAGCAGAGTAAAACCAGTATCAGAGTCCCAGTGAGTCAGGTCAGAACTGGGAACACTGGTCTCTCCTCAGTGTCTCTGAGAGCGGAGTCTGGGAGCCCTGGGTGGCCTCACAGGTCACAGAGCCCACCTTCCTCCAGTGGTCTGCAGAGAGCCTCAGGGTGCTGCTCCAGCTGTAGTGGCCGTCCTTCAGCACCCCGGGGCTCCTGCTCTCCTCCCAGCTGCTGCTGCTGCTGCTGCCGTCCACCTTCCAGGACAGACTCCAGTCTGAGGGGAAGCCCTTGTTGGCCAGACACATGAGCGTGGCCTTCCCCTGCTGCAGCTCCTTACTGGAGGGGGCAGCACCGTCAGGGTGGGACGGACATCACCTAGGAGACACCAATCAGCTTAGAGGGACAGGGACCACACAGCTGTCAATCAAGCAGCAGACACTTGGACACCTTTACTGTGTGAGAGTTGATTTTCTCCTTTAAGGAGTTTCTGTCAGATGGTTTTTCTGCTCCACCAGTCACTCACTCACACATTGTTTCACTTCCCTTTAAGAAGCCTCTCATGCATATCAGCACAGAGAATCATCATACAGAATGAGCTGAAATATATCAAACTACACTGGAAATAAAATATCAAAAACTGTATCATCAAAATCATCCAAAACCTGAACTATACATTACTTTAAAGTATTTAGTGGAAACATGAACAAACACAGAAAATGAACTGACTACAATCAAATGTTCTTCATATGAATTTCAATCATCATTACCAAACTGTAACTTTAAAACAATATATAACACTATGAAGATATTTTGAACGTTTACTCATCTTTATCTTCACTACGTTCAATTTGACTATAAAATTTTATCTTAATTCATTTAAAAATATTTATTTCTGACATAGAAAAGTAAAAGTGAATCTTAAAAATGAAACATTTGTACAAAAAGTTTAGCAGTTTTATCTTTTCTACACTTCAAGCTGTTTGAATTTCAGTTTGACAGGAATGTTTAAAGAACAAAGAGTTAGCCTCCATGATGAAGGAGGACAAGTACAAACATGAATACTTCAAGTGTTAATATTAAAACAAACTATACCTGTCTACTTCAGACATT